CCGGCCCGGCCCCCGCCCGGGCGGGTCCCCACCCCCCCCCCGTTTCCCGCCGCGCCGCCGCTTGGCGCCAAAACCAGGAGCCTTTCGCGCCACCGAGCGGGAGTTCCGCCCCCCTCCCGCCTCCAGCGCTTCTCATTGGTCAGTACCTCCCGCGCCAGCCAATGGGACAGCGATAGAGTGACGCGCAAGAGCTCCGGCCTATCAGCGCGCAGGGGGGCGGGGAGTCGAGGGCACCGCCCAGCCCCGGCGCTTGGAAGTCCGCGGCCGGTTGCAAATACCATTTTATTAAAAAAAAAACCCAAAACAAAACACAAACAAAACCCCCAAACTACCTTTTATTTTCCTACTGCATTTCGGGGAGCTCCGTTTCAGGGTGTTTTTGCCCCAAAATGTCCAGGCTAGGCGTCGGTTTTCCCTTTCAGATGGTGGATGAAGCCCAGGAGCTGGGGCTGAAGACCCAGAAGCGATAGGTCCTGCGGCTTTTGCAAGGAAAATGGTGATTTTGGATGTGTTTTCGGCGAGCTGTTGCAGGCAGAAATCCCAGGAAAGCGGGGACAGCGGTGCCGCTCCGCACGGGGAAACCGGCCGCTCCCCCTTAAAAAATATTTTCAGTATCCCTTAAAAAAATCCTCATCTAAACTCTGTTTAAAAATAGAAAAAGAATAAAAAGCTAGGCAAAACTATTTCGATCAGCAAGGCATAGCGGACATCCCAACTTGGCTGTGTCCCCTGGATGATATTAGAGCTAAAATCAGTTTTTTCCGGGGTTGGTAGTAAATATTCACCCCGTTCGGCCGTGCAAAACGCCGAGGCAGGAGCGTTCCCGCTGCCCGATCTGACCAGAGGGAGCCGCTTCCATTCGTGTTTTTGGCAGAAAAGAAGGAAACAGCCCCTGCCCGGATTCCCCTTTTCCGTTTGGCTGGACCAGATCCCTCTAAAATCGTTGGAAATGGTACCAGTAACCGCTGTGGCCGGGTTAGGGTAGATAGGTGAAGCCCAAGCCCTGGGTGTTTTTCCTG